ATGCAATCCCCCCCCCCCCCCCCCAGTCTGGAAAAATTCCTCATCTGGGACCAATTAGGACCCGAAGGTGCCAGACCAGGGAGAGCCAACCTGTATTAGTCCAAAATACTTTGAAAACCTGTTTTGCTTTTTAAGGCTCCCTGCACATCTAGGCATTGGCGTCAAACCATAAGAATAGCTGTAATTGACTTTATTAAACAGATGGCGGGAGGGGTATTTTCCCTCCTGTAATTGGATGGATGAGATTTCAGACGTAATTGAGTTACAGTGGAGCTGTGATCAATGGACTCTGCAGTCACACATGCTGGCCTCCCGCCCTGTCTTTCCGTCTGATTCCAGGCCAGTCTGCTTCAAGCTTGCATGTTGCTTATTTTTGTACAGGACTTTCTGATGGAAACCTTCATCATGTTTAAGGATCTGATAGGAAAGAATGTCTATGCGAGCGACTGGATGGTGATGAACATGATGCAGAGCAGGTAAACAGCCTCTCCCAGACGCTGCTGCAGGTTGAAGGCTTCTTCAGAACCTATTGGCTGTGGGATTGAGGGGGTTTTGTCCTAGAGCTGCTGCAAGTAACTTGAGATATGCAGAAAAAAACCAGCAAGCAAATGGTCTGGTAGCACTTTATAGACTAACAAAACATGTAGATCAGTGGTCTCCAACCTTTCGGGGCTGCCAGGCGCTCGTGGGCGGGGCCACTCACATGCTGTGTGCCCAAGGGCGGCACCGCGCATGTGCCGCGCACCCGGGGCAGGGACCCCCGGGGCTGCAAGTAACTTGAGATATGCAGAAAAAAACCAGCAAGCAAATGGTCTGGTAGCACTTTATAGACTAACAAAACATGTAGATCAGTGGTCTCCAACCTTTCGGGGCTGCCAGGCGCTCGTGGGCGGGGCCACTCACATGCTGTGTGCCCAAGGGCGGCACCGCGCATGTGCCGCGCACCCGGGGCAGGGACCCCCGGGGCCTGCAAGCGCCGCGTGCCCAGAGCACGGGCAGCCAATCCACGGCGCTCCCGGGGCCGGTGCTCACCGTACGCCATGTGCCCAGGCCCGGCACCGGCACCATGCATGTGCCACGTGCCTGGGGCAGGGGCCGCCCATGCGCCGTGCGCCCAGGGCCAGCACTGCGCATGTGCCACGCACCCGGGGGCGGGGTCGGCTCAGATCATTCCGTGGGCGCACATAAATGCCCCGGCAGGCGCCATGGGGCCCACGGGCACAGCGTTGGGGACCACTGATGTAGACGATATCCTGAGCTTTCATGGGCACAGCCCACTTCTTCAGATGACCGGAGTTATGAATAGGGGATATGATGCCCACAACAACTCGGGGGGGGGAAGATGTTCTGTCGCCCGCCCCCCTACCTCTATGCATAAAGTATCAGTTAACGTCTGACATGAGGCAGGCACTAGGGTGGAAGGGACCTTGATGACTAAATAGGTCATTTCATTTCAAACTTCCCTAAATCAGACATACTTCTGTTGAGAAACAAAGAAATAACCTTCCCCCAAATCCTCTGCAGTCAGTGGGAAGTGAAAGGGAAGGATTATGTTGGAAGAACTGATCGTCTGAGGTCACCCGTTTGTGTCTAGTGTGAGATTACAAAAAGGAGATGTACATCTAGGCATGTTTCTGCTTCCACAAATGCCTCCTTCCCTGTGTTGACTTTTCCAGGGTTTTCCTCCGAGCCGTGAACCAATTTACATCTGTGCTCAACCGATTCTTTCTGGATCAAGCAAATTTCGAACTCCAGGTGAGGATACATTCAGTTCCAGATTGTCTTGACCGCTTTGGGACTGAGTGAGTCCGGAGAGGTGACAGGTGCCTTCAACTCCGACTGATGCCAGTTTTGTGACTGAAATCGGTGGTGTTACTGGTCAGACAAGTATCATGAATGGGAAATTTCTAATCCGAGATGCTGCTTTTAACACAGGCTTGTGCTTGACTAGTGACCTGTGGAGCATGTTTTGTGCTCATCTGCATGCCATAAACCAGTGATGTGCTAAAGCAGGAGCATGAAAGTTTCTCTCTCCACCCCTTACTTTTCTGTTAAGTTGTCTATAAAACTTTCTGGCACTTTAGAGAGATTTGATGGCAACATTCTCCTTCAGGGAGGTATGGTCTTGTGGTTAATGTTCTGGACTGGGACATAGGTGATCAATTCAATTTCCCGTTCCACCACAGACTCCTTGGGCAATTCAATTTCCCATTCCATCACAGACTCCTGTTTAAACCATATGCTACCTCAACTCCGTATCTATGATCTAGGGCTCATGGAATGAGGCGTAACGGTAGTTCGAATTAGGATCTTTAATTCGAACTACCTACTCCGTGCCACGTGTAGCTGTGGGCAATTAGTTCGGACTAAGGGGGATTTAAAAATGGTGGCGCCCGGGAACATGCAAATGAAGCCCGGGATATTTAAATCCCGGGCTTCATTTGCAACTCCGCTTGCTCTAATTACCCTACCTAGCTCGAACTAACGAGCTAGTGTAGACGTACCAGAGCATCTGCAGCAGTGGTGACTAAGTAGCCCGAGCTAGTGTAGACGTACCCTGACAGAGCATCTGCAGCAGTGGTGACTGAGTAGCTCTATTGTGCTGTGTGTTTCTGTTCCTTTGTGTTTTTCCTTTCTTTAATGAGGTTCTTTCCCCTCACAGCTCTGGAACAATTACTTCCACTTGGCAGTAGCTTTCCTCACTCACGAATCTCTCCAGCTGGAGACCTTCTCACAGGCCAAACGCAACAAAATTGTCAAGAAGTAAGTTCGCCTTTCAATGTGGTCGGGTTTTCTGAGGGTGAGAAACGAAACCCTGGCCTTATATTGTGCTCCTCTAAGGAGGCACACCTCTTGCAGCCCAAGGGCATGTCTGGACTGCAGTCACCATATGTAACTACAACTCGTGTGGCCGTACCTGAGGTATTTTTAATCTGGTTAGCTCGGGTACCAGCACAGTGAAGCGCTGACAATGTGGGCCTGGATGCAGGCCAGCCACTTGTACATCCTATGCTGAAGCCTGTGGTTGCAGTGTAGACATACCGTGAAGGTGAGCTCTCTGTGTGAGAATAGTGGTAGGGTCAGACAATGGGCTGTGCTGCTTTGGGTTGTGTTTAAACAACGCGTGTGATTTTAAACCAGGGGTGGGCAAAAGGGCCTCCGTGGGCTGGATCTGGCCCACCAAGCAGGCCTTGCTGCTCCCCTGCCCCCAGGCCAATTAGAGACTGGGGGCGGGGGAGAGCACGAAGCCTTATCGCGCCCTGCCAGGAGCATGTGGCACTTTGAAGCGTCGCGTGTTGCTTACAGGGCAGAGGGGAGAGCGGAGGAGGCTTCACGCGCTCCCCTGCCCCCAGGCCACTCCCGGGGAGCTGCGTGAAGCCTCCTTCGCCCTGCCCCGGCCCTGTGAGGAGCCCGCGGCACTTCAAAGTGCCACATGCTCCTTGAAGGGTGGGAGAAGGCTTCCCGTGCTCCCCCACCCCCAGGCCAATCAGGGCCTGGGGGCAGGGGAGCATGCAAAGCCTCCTCCTGCCCTGCCAGAAGCATGCAGCATTTCTAAGTACCGTGTGCTCCTCGCAGGGCGGGGGCAGGGCAGAGGAAATTTCCCCCCCGCCACTTCCAGGGTGGCCCGGGGCTACTTCAAAAATGTTTGAAGTGGCCCCTGGGCAAAAATTATTGCCCACCCCTGTTTAAAATAGAGGTTGTTGCTTCTTTATGGTTTAATCTAGAACGCTTACCTCAGCTATAGCCCTCAAAGCCATAAATTACTGGCTGGCCCAGCCGTAATGCCAGACAAGGGAGCAATCCATACAGCATCCCTCTAACCATGGGACCTCTTCCTCTCACCCCTCTGTTCCTGACACTCCCAGTATTGCCAATCCCGAGCGTTCAAAAATCATGAGACAAACATAAAAATCTTGAGGTTTAAAAAAAAAAAAAAAAGGTTGGCGGAGGTTTTCTTTGTCGCTTGCTTCCTTTGCCTTTCAGGCACCCTCATTTGGGGGGTTTCAAGCTTTTCTCTGCACTCATGAGGGTTAGAAACTTTTTTTAAAAATGGAAGCTGCGTTATCGTGCAACCTTATGATTCCAGCGAAATGCGATTGTCTGGCTAATCGTATTGTCGATAAGCATTTGCTTATCGGCTAGTTGGCAAGTCGCTTACATCCCTAATTCCAGCATCTGGGGCTTGAAGCAAAACACGAGATATTGCAAGACTGTGGGTAACATCGCGCTGGCCCACTTTAAAACAGGCTTCCCCTGCCACTGAGGAATCTACAACCTGCTCTCAGAAATGTTTATGATCACGCCTACTGGCAGGGCACAATGGCTCTTTTGGGGGCTGCATTTTAATCCACACCTTGCCAGTATAGGAACAAAGGACTGACAGGCACTTTCTGGGTCACTGAGTACAGGCAACCCTGCCATGTCCAGGGGCTATTGGTGATTAGTGGTCCTAATAGTAACACCTTCCCATTAGTAGCAACGTGGTGTCGGAACACTCCCGGCCCGTTGACTGTCATGTTAATGGAGCGTGGATGTCGGCAATAAACAGGACGCCTGTCTGAGACCGTTTGGGCGGGGCTCTGGTGGGGGGCGGGGGAGGAAGAGGCCCTGGCTGCATGCTGCTTGGTGGAGCTGTCGCAAGGCAAGGAGGGGCTAGGACATTCCTTCTTTGGCCACCACCCCACAAACAAGCCAGTGGCCGGGGACCGACCACCAGCACAGGAGAGACGGGGCTGCCGCATCCGCAGTCTCACCCCGAGAGGGCAGCCCAGGCTGGAGTTCCAGGGCCTAAACGGGAGGCACATCCCATCCCAGGGCTCCCTCTGCTGGCTGCAGCTCCACACACTGGCCTTCTGTTTATTGGCAACCTTCAGATAATAGCGCCGATTTGCTGGGAAGGGAGAGATTGCTCACTAGGGAAGCCATTGCAATCCCATTCATCAACTTTTCTAATGCCACCTTAAAACTAGCTAATGGTTCTTGGCTCTACTTCTGCCATGGGCGGGCTGTTCCAGAACCTCACTCCCGATGATCATAGAATCATAGGACTGGAAGGGACCTCGAGAGGTCATCGAGTCCAGCCCCCCGCCCTCAAGGCAGGACCACGCTCCATCTACACCATCCCTGACAGATGTCTATCTAACCTGTTCTTAAATATCTCCAGAGAGGGAGATTCCACCACCTCCCTTGGCAATTTATTCCAATATTTGACCACCCTGACAGTTAGGAATTTTTTTCCTAATGTCCAATCTAAACCTCCTTTGCTGCACTTTAAGCCCATTACTCCTTGTCCTGTCCTCAGAAACCTCCTTGCGACACCCTTTTAGATATTTGAAAACCGCTATCATGTCCCCCCTTAATCTTCTTTTTTCCAAACTAAACAAGCCCAGTTCATGAAGCCTGGCTTCATAGGCCATGTTCTCTAGACCTTTAATCATTCTTGTCGCTCTTCTCTGTACCCTTTCCAATTTCTCCACATCTTTCTTGAAATGTGGCGCCCAGAACTGGACACAGTACTCCAGCTGAGGCCTAACTAGTGCAGAGTAGAGCATGTGGGAACCAAATTAATTAGTGCTTCTACAATGTGGCTGCCGGACTGTTAGGAAATGTACGGCGACCCAGACACACTGCACGTATGACATACTGAAGAGTCAGCAGGCAGTAAGGCCTTGCAGGCCCTATTGTCCAGACTTGATTAAAAATGGTGCCTTAGCAAAGGAAGGTTCTGTATCCCACTTCTGCCACCAAGACCCAATTTTAATAGGGCTGGGGGGACCTTCCCATCACTCCCCACAGATACCACCCAGTGACAGGAAACACGGTAACAGAAGGCTCCAGCCTGCCAAAGTGTCAGAGTGATGGGTTGAAAGCCAAGAACAGAAGCAAGCAAAGGGTCTCACGATATGCGGAGACTGTCTGCTCATCCCAATCACCGTCTGGTGCAGAGTAGAGCGGCAGAATGATGAGAAACCTTCTTTTAATGTCCAGCCTAAACTTATGATCATCATCTCCCGGTTCATTCTTGGAACAGCATGGTCCTTCTACCTATCTCCTGTGGGTCCCTTATCTCACCATCCTAATGCGGGAGCCATCCCTGGGGCAGCCTCCAGTAGTTCTTCTCCGTCCCTGGAGTTACCTCCCGGAGATCTCTGGTGTCTGGTCACTGCTTGGCTGATGCCTGGTGAGGAACTTGCCCTCTGCAGACTCTTTACTCTCAATGCCCAAGAAGCGGGGCTACGTTTTTAAAAGGGGGGGGTCCAGTAAATTTTGCGGCTGGGCTGTAAAATTTTCCTGGCAACTTCACAAGGATAATTTCAATACATGCCTTTTGTTCAACTTCCTCTCTCATTTCATATTTTTCCCTTCCTAGGTATGGAGACATGAGGAAAGAGATTGGCTTCAAAATCAGGGATATGTGGTATAATCTGGGTGAGTTCCCTGTCTGTACAGTTCACGATGGTGTGTGGGATCTACTTGGGAAACTGGATTTCAGATCTTCTCTGAGATGGGACTCTGCAAGCCAGCTGCCTTGGGCCTGGCAGGTCTTGCATTCTGCCGGAAGATGTGGACTTTGTTGATTAGCTCCCCCTTTCTGGGCCCATGTGAACGTGAAAGCAAGTAGCACGTAGGCTTGGTGAAGGAATGTCTAAGCTAGTCACACTTTGTTCCCAAAGTACAAGAGCGACACGGACAGTGGCAACTGCTGGGGAGGGACGCAGCGGCACCAGCCACATGACTAGCCCCTCATTTGACTCCTCCCTGCGCCACCCACGGGCGGAGTTTCGGGAGGGGAGGGCAGTAGTCGTGTGCACGGGTACATGGCCGTTCCCCGATGATAAGGGAGTGAAGGGAACGTACTTGGATTCCGTGCAGGCCTCTCACTCCTGGCTGGCAAAGGGGTTGGGGAGAGGGAGAGGTGTAAATCACGGAATCCAGTTTTTTCTCCTCGCTCCCTTATCGTCTGGGGAACAGGAAGAAAAGCAAGCTGCGTTCCGGTGCACACAGCTGCTGTCCCCTCCCCCCCATTCTCTCGAAACGCCGCCCTTGGGGCCACCCCTAGCTTGCAAATCGTAGCCTCAATTTCCTTGCCCCTCTGAGAGCCCTTTAGTTTTGGGTCAGTCTCTGAGAGGGAGTCCAGGAACTTCCTTCCTTGCGCTCTGTCAATGGAGAGTGTCCCATTTTAACAGGAGGTTTGAATCACTCCTTCCTTGCGCTCTGTCAATGGAGAGAGTGTCCCATTTTAACAAGAGGTTTGAATCAGGTTGTACTTCTTGTGTGGGGTTTTTCCTTCTCCCCTCCTCTGAGCTGCCACCTCTTCCAGCCCCAGTTAGCCGTCCATTCACTTTTGGCTGGTAACACCCTAGGGATGTAAGCGTGTAGTCAATTAACCCATAAGCAAAAGCGTGTCGGTTAATTCTATAGACTACACGCATCCCCCTCCCCACCAGTAAATTTGTTAGCCAGCTGGCCAGCAGCCTGGCTCATTTCTGGCTCGTGCTGGGTCTGGGACCTACCCCCGCTGCGGCTCTACATTTAATGCGTATTAGGAGTCAGGTGGGCAGGCAGCCCAGCTCAGTTCCAGCTTGTGCTGGGTCTGGGAGTTCAGCGTTCTCCCTCCCTCCCGCCCCCCAGACAGGGTCTGCTGCCGCCCTGTGCTGCAGTGTGGGGTGACAGGCAACCAGTCCGTGAGGGGAGCTGGTTTTTAAACTGGCTCCCCTCGTGGACCAGCTTCCGCCTGGCACCCCACGCTGCTGCCTCTGATATAGGCAGGGGGCTCCTCGGGAGTGGGGCTGGAAGGCACTGGCCCTGCCCCTAGGGACTATAGACTAGTCGAGTAACCGATAGGAATTCATGAGGTTAATTCACTATTCAATTGACTGATATTTAACATCCCTATAGAACCCGTCCTGCTGCTAGGGCAAGATTATTCAGTTGTCAAGGGTATATAAGGGTGGTCCTGCTCTGTGCCGATCCCCATTTCCTTAGCACCAGGAGCTGGTGCACAGATAGAGTCAGACTTCCAAAACCATACAGAAGGCTGGCACCATCTAATGGGCAGCGTTTATTCACCCAGACACTGTCTTCTCATTACCTTGATAAGACGGATGTGCTGCCAGATATAGGCACCCTGCTCCAAGCAGCCGCATTCCGCTGAGCAGACGCTGTGTCTAATCTTCTCTCCGTTACAGGCCCCCATAAGATCAAGTTCATCCCATCAATGGTGGGCCCGATCCTGGAGGTGACTCTGACACCTGAGCCCGAGCTGCGGAAAGCTTCCATCCCCATCTTCTTTGACATGATGCAGTGCGAGTTCAACTTCAGCGGGAACCGAAACTTCCATATGGTGAGGGCCTGTGGGCTCATCAGCTCCGCTGCTTCATGCCATGGGGTGGGCAAGTGGGAAAAAAGCAAATCAGAGTCTTTCCTTCCCTCCCCCCCCCCCCCCCCTTTTTTTTTTTGGCAGGGGTACAGAGCAGAAAGCAATGTTGAAAATCTGTTGCGAGGCATTTTTGTGGGGTGAATGTAGCAGGAGACTGCAAGTCTTGATACTTGGGTTATTACTGTCTGTTGCTGTGGGCACATCCCTTAGTGGCTCAGTGCCTCAGTTTCCCCATCTTAAAAATAGATGAATACCCATTGCACAATTGCAAAGGGTGTTGAGATCCTTGGATCAAAACGTGCATTTATAAACTAATATTTATTGTGCATCTTTATACTGTTATATAAACTAATATTTATTGTGCATCTTTATAATGTTATTTATTTGTATTACCATAGCATCTAGCAGTCCTAGACCAAGACCCTATTATGTTAGGTGCTATTCAAGCAATAAAACCCAAATATGGTCCTTTCTGCCAGAGGCTTACTTAGCGATAATTCTCTGAGGGTAACTTCTTAGCTGCAAATATTACGTTGTTACAAAGAGATTGGCCGAAAGTCCAGGGTCGCATTGCTAGTGCTGGTCATTTAAAGCAGTTAACATCCTTAAAAGCCCTTCAAAACACTCTCAGCGCCTCTGTGAGCATCAGTACCCATCCCCCACCCTTGGCTGTGGAACGGAGAGGGAATGTGAGCGGTGTGAAGTTACACATTGTCAGGAGCAGAGTGGGGACTCGAAGGCTGGTCTCCGGCACCCAGCTCTGGGCTAATTCCACTGGACTTTTCCGTTTATTGCTAACCTGAAAACGCTGGCAGGAAGGCAGAAAAAGAGGTTCCTGGTTTGGTGCCTACTTATCCCTTCAGCTCCAGCAACTGCCACTCAGAACTTTTCTTCCCACGTCCCTCCGGGGATGCCAGTCATTAGCATCTCTGCCCTTGGGCCGGCGACACGCTAGAGACACCGTGGTCAGTCTCCTCCCCGGAGACGTCAGAAATCATCCATCCAGGAGGCAGCCTCCTTGGCATTCTGCCTGTCAGACACACGAGACAGTTGTCACCACGTGTCCCTTAGCGCTGTGCTTACACCAACCTGTCCCTGCTTTGATCTCCGTTCAGATACTTCGTGGGGGGAGGGAGAATCTTACTTCCCAGTGGGCCATCAGCCTTTGGCATTGTCTGTCCCAAGATTTTGTCTGAGTGATGGAATGTGTGAGAATTGCTTCAGTGCTGTGGGCAGGGGTGCTGACAGCCTCTGCAGGTTGGGGCCCCAGAAGGGGCGGGGCCTCGGTGGGAGGTGCGGGGCCTCAGTGGGAGGGGAGGGGCCAGAGCAGCTCTCCACATTGCTCAGAGCACGCCAAACAGCCTGCCCAACCTTTAGCACTTCCTGGAACATGGCATACTGGGGTGGCCATTTAAAGAGCTCCGGGTTCCTGCTTCTGCTGCAGTATAGCACCCTTTGAATTGCTGGGCCCTCGGATGTGAATGTTTTTTCCTGGGATGCTGGTTCCAAAGAACACTAGTGTGAACATGGGATACAAATGGGTTTATATGCTTGATCCGAGTCACTCCTGCTCACACAATCACCAGATCAATCTGATCCTCAAATCTGTGTCTGGCATGAAATTTCCCCCTCCAGCATGTTGGCGGGGGCTTTCTTCTTTCTCGGGAAAGAATAGGGGTCTGTCCATTAGGATCAGGGAGCTATATCCCAGACGATCAATTTCCTGTGACATCTGGTTTGAACGGGGGAGCTGTCCAAATTTCCTGGCTCCTTCCCTGTCTTCACTGTCTGTTTCTGTCTGTTAATTTTCCTTGGGTCAATTAATGGAAACATCCTCCAGTTTAGCCAGTGAGATCAGTACCCCCAAGATGGGGCAGTTCCTTCCGCAAACACATGTGGGATTCATTCCAAGGGTTCAGGAATTGTTCCAATTTGGGATTTTTTTGTTGTTTCCTTTTTTAGCTTGAAAACGAGTTAATAACCAAACTAGACCAGGAAGTGGAAGGGGGCCGAGGGGACGAGCAATACAAGGCCTTGCTGGAGAAACTGTAAGTGTTTAAAAGATGCTCAGAAGCTCTTTGTTGTCTGGCAGCTCGGTTGGTTCTTTCTGTAAACCTGAGAACCCCTAATTCATTACTTCGATGAGGGAGTAACTCAGAAAAGCTGCAAACCACAATGGTCTTCATATTAACTGGCCACTGTCAAGATGGACTGATGGCTTAAAATTATACTTCTGTTGCTGTTTGTATTACAGGAGCACCGAAGAGCTCCAACGGAGTAGAGCCCTGCAAATCCAGAGATATCCGTGGTATATCTGCAGTATTTGTATCCACCCTGCAAATCCAGAGATATCCGTGGTATATCTGCAGTATTTGTACCCATGGATGTCAGTGCGGATATCCATGGCTCATTTTTGCAGATACAAATTTTGTATCTGCCCAGGGCTCTATAAATGAGATCCAGGAGCCCTTGTGCTAGTTGCTGTGAAAGCTCATGGCTTTCTGGTGAGCAGAGCAAAGAAGCAAAAAGCTTCTACATGTCCATATGCCCCCATTAAAGCCTTTTAGCCCAGTGGCTTAGGGGATGATGAGGATGATAAAGTTCAGTTTAGCTGTAGAAACACCATCCAGAACTTGAATGGAATCTCTGTTCTCTTCTGTTTCTCTCTGGTCTTTCCTCTCTCGATATGCCTGCAGCCTGCTGGAACACTGCCGGAAGCACAAGTACCTGTCCAGTTCGGGGGAAGTGTTTGCTTTGCTGGTCAGCAGCCTGCTAGAAAACCTCTTGGACTATAGGACCATCATGCACGATGGAAGCAAGGAGAACCGTATGAGCTGCACGGTCAATGTGCTGGTATGAAAGGAAGGGCTCTGATGCCAATTTACTGACTTGCTTTTAATCTTATAATCATTGGCCAGACCCGATATTTACAAAGTGCAGGTACCAGGCTGCACCTGAGATTCATCCTGAAAAAATTATTCATTCCTGTATCTCCAGGAAAAAGCCAAAGATTAAAAGTGGGAATCACCTGAGATTCATCCTGAAAAAATTATTCATTCCTGTATCTCCAGGAAAAAGCCAGAGAAGATTAAAAGTGGGAACCCCTAAGAGAAGATGAAATATCTTTGCAAAAGATGCGTTTTAATCGAGCTTCTGGGAGAAATTCTACACCTTGTAAACCCAGGAGGTTGGAGTAGATCAGGGCTACTCAACTTTGGAAGCTCTGGGGGCCACAATGATACTCATAGCACATGCCACGGGCCACAGCTTAAGGGTGGTTGCATATACATGTAAATATATATGCAAATATATGCAAATAGCTTCTTTCATACTGATGGGCAAGACTTCACAACACACAGGCCCAATTTAAGTAGTTCTGCTGGTCTTAATAGAATGCAATATTTGCCTGATTTCCCACCCATAGGAAAGCACTTTTAATTGGCAATGACAGTCCAGGAATTTAACTACTAAAGGCATCTCAACAGAAGACCCTTATATTGACTACTTTTCTGTTTTGGCTCCCACCCACTGCACGGTGGGCCACAAACAAACGGGCCATGGGTCTCATGAGCCCCGCAGGCCGCATGTTGAGTAGCCCTGGACTGATCCCTTAGGCCAGTGTTTCTTTTAAGACTGAGGAACACCAAATAATTTTTTTTATGAGGAACACCAAGGATTTTTTGTTGAGCAAAAAATAAAAAAGGAAAAAAGTGTTGGGGGGTGGAGGAGGAGTTATTGAGGGGGGAAAAAAGGGCAGGGGAAAGTTATTGAGGGTGGAAAAAAAGGTTGCCTGCTCCTTTAAGGGTGGCCATTTTGAATTCTGTTGAATTCGGTGTGCCACAGAACACAGTTTAAGAAACACTGCCTTAGGCCATGTCTACACTAACATGCTTACAGCAGCCCAGCGGTACCGACGCATCTGTGCTGCTGCAAGAGTGCTTGTGTAGCCTTGTTATGCAAACTGCCTTAGGCCATGTCTACACTAACACGCTTACAGCAGCCCAGTGGTACCGACACATCTGTGCTGCTGCAAGAGCACTTGTGTAGCCTTGTTATGCAGATGGAAGAGAACGAGATAGTAAAGCCAGCTCAACCAGCAGTGGTAGCTATGTTGGGTGGGCATGGGCGGTGGGTGAATGTAGTGCCTCAGCCTCGCCCCTTCTTCCAGAGGCCCCGCTCCCCCATAGGAACCTCACTGGTCCCAGAGCACAAGGAGGGTGAGCTGCCTGCAGCCCCAGCATCTGCAACCTCAGCGTGGCTGAAGCCTGGTGGCAGCAACGCTCCACCTCCAAAATGTCTATGCTAGGCATTCTGGGGGCGGAGAGGGGGCGGGGCCAGGCTGGCTGTTTGGGAAGGCAAAGCCTTCCCCTGCCTATGATACCCGCCACCCATGTTGGTGGGAGAGTGTCTCCCGTTGTCGTAGCGCTGTGCACATGAGCTCTTACGCTGGCAAAATGTACGTGGCTCAGGGTGGTGTCTTTTCCCCCCTCCTCCTCCGACCCCCGTGTGACAGAAGTTTTGCCCACGTAAGTGTAGAGATGGCCTCTTCTCGGGAAGTGCTCGGGCTTGGCCTAATTCAGCTCCCGTTGTTACTGCCGGCTTCAGCACAAGCAGAGCCAGACCACCACTTTCGCTTTCAGTGGCCTCCGTTTAATCTGCCTTCTGCAAGGGAGGTTCTGGCAGGACTAGCCGAACCAACTGTGAGGAGAGGACAGCCCTTGAAGATTGTGCGGAGAGGGGGAGCCAGCCCCAATGGGGAGTGAAAAATAAGATGTGCGTTCCGGGCTGACACCCTGAAGCGAAGTGAGGCTGAGTGGTGTAGGCTGGTTTGTTGTACAGGGCACTTTCGAACAGCTGACCATTGTACAGGTGAGGCAGTTGTAGTTTGGCTGCTGCTGAGGCAAAAGCAACCATTTAAATAACCTCTGCAGGGCATTTGGGGTCCCTCTACTAGAGCTCAGGTACTCAGAGACAATAGTGCTCATGGAAAATTAAGGGTTGCAGGTAGGGGGAAGTTAACCCAAAATCCTCAAACTTTGAAAAAAGATTCAGGATTGAATATTGGGCACGTCACCTCCTTTCAACAGGATCCCCTGTTCTTACTAACACTGTTTGCAGCCACTTTATTACTCCATTTCTAGCTAAAGCTGGGCCCAAAGCAAATAATCAGCCATGAGCCACTGCAAACTGCAGAGGGGTTTGTTGTCCAAATTGAGATGCAGATGCCATGGCTAATCCTCGTTTGTATAATACAGCAATTCCTTTATGCCTTACTGCCAGAAACTGAGATGAGGATGGTCAGGTCTAGTGGGTGGAGCCAGGAGTCAGAGATGAAGTCAGGGGCAGAGCTGGAACAAGGCAGGAGCAGTGCCTAGACTAGTAGCCTTGGACTTGGGAAGGCTCCATTCAACTCCTCTGCCACAGATTTTCTGTGTGATCTTGGCCAAATCACTTAATCTTTGTGCCTCATCTAGGGATAATAGTATTTCCCTACCTCACTAGCATGTTCTGAGGACATTGAAAACTGATGTGCTCAGATACTGTGGTAATGGAGGCCAGATAAGTACTTAAGATTGATCATCCTAAGCAGGTAATATACCTATGTGTAAATTTAGTGATTTTTACAACAGCTTGATATGAGTGTGTTGTTTTCTTGGCAGAATTTTTATAAGGAGAAGAAACGAGAGGATATATACATCAGGTAAGTGTTCTACCTCCAGAATCACATGGGCATGTTTTATTTTTGCTGCTTTGGGGTGCATCAGTACAGTAAGCCTTCACATCAAATCTCTGTTTGCGTCTCATTCTTTTAGGTATCTGTATAAACTCCGGGACCTACACACGGACTGTGAGAACTTCACAGAGGCGGCATACACTCTCCTCCTCCACGCAGAACTCCTTCAGGTGACTCACTCGAGGCAATTAGTGTTTTTACACGGTTTGGGGGTTTAAGATGAACAAAGACGACCCACAGAATAAACCGTTACTGTGTTCACTTTTAACCTGAAAAGGCTTCCAGGGAGCTTTGTAAGTTGCACATCGGGTATAAACTGGGGAGAAAACAGGTAGGTGGTGAAAACAGCAGTAATATGACTTGCACCTGTTTGGTATGCAGGCCTGCAAATCTCTGTTTGGATAGCACGGTCTAGTGGGTAGAGCACTGGATTGGGGGTTCAGGAAACTTGTGCACTGTTACTAGCTCTGTCACTGCTGTATGATCTTACCAAGACATTTCCCTTCTCTGAATGCCTGTTCCCCATCTTTAAAGTAGGAATGATGCTCATAAGACAGGAAAGGACCTGGCACCTGGTTATCTTGTCCATCTCCCTACACTGAGCAGGGCTAAGGATCCCAACTGCATCCCAGACAAGTGTTAGTCTAATCTGTTCTTAAATACCTGTCTTGAAGTGCGCCCTTGTAGCCAAGAAGGCTAATGGCATATTAGGGTGCATTAAGAGAAGCATTGCCAGCAGATCCAGAGATGTCATCATTCCCCTTTATTCAGCTTTGGTGAGGCCACATCTGGAGTATTGTGTCCAGTTCTGGGCCCCCCACTACGAAAAGGATGTGCATGCATTGGAGAGGGTCCAGCAGAGGGCAACCAAAATGATTAGGGGGCTGGAGCATATGACTTATGAGGAGAGGCTGAGGGACTTGGGTCAGTTTAGTCTGCAGAAGCGAAGAGTGAGGGGGGATTTTCATAGCAGCCTTCAACTTCCTGAAGGGAGGTTCCAAAGAGGATGGAGAGAGGCTGTTCTCAGTAGTGACAGATGGCAGAACAAGGAGCAATGGTCTCAAGTTGTGGTGGGAGAGGTCCAGGTTGGATATTAGGAAAAAGTATTTCCCTAGGAGGGTGGTGAAGCACTGGAATGGGTTACCTAGGGAAGTAGTGGAGTCTCCATTCCTAGAGGTGTTTAAGTCTCGGCTTGACAAAGCCCTGGCTGGGTTGATTTAGTTGGAATTGGTCCTGCCTAGAGCAGGGGGCTGGACTTGATGACCTGAGGTCTCTTCCAGTTCTATGATTCTATGATTCCACAGCCTCCCTTGGAACTCTGCTCCGGTGTTTTTAACTACCCTTTGAATTACAATGGTTTCATAGAAATCATATGACTGGATTTGAGAGGTCATCTAGTCCAGTCCCCTGCACTCAAGGATGGCTATTATCTAACCCGGAGCGAGCATCATTTTTAATGGGGGGCCCACTACAAATTTTGGTTAAAAACCTTTAGGGATGGAGGTTCTACCACCTTCCCAGGGAACCCATTCCAGTGCTAAATGAAGCCTTGTCTACACACACGTGCCTGATTGATTGAATTAAAAGGATGCAAACTTCAGTGTGGCTTGTCTTATTTTGGCTTAGGAGTGACGTTTTGCTGTTTAGCTTGAACTTGTGCCAAAAAGCCCTGTCTTGTGGTGAGATAAGAACATCCACACAGACTTTGAGTAGTTTAAAATGATACTGTGAACTAAAATTAAAGGTGCAACACTCCGTGTAGGTAAGCAATTATGTCCAAATGTTGATTGATTGTGCAAGTTGCACAGCTTTGCCGCCTATGCCTGGTCAACCCGTTCCTCCCCATGCAGTCTTGCGCTGGTTTAACTAAAAGCATGATTTTATACCAGGTTAGTTAAACTAGTGCAACTTTTCTGTGCAGGGATACTTAAGTTTATTTAAACCTGACTTATGTCAGTTTAGTTCACAAATAAATATAGGTGCTTAACCAGTACAACCAGTTTCAACCTGATGTAAGAGGCTCCACAAAGGAGTTTGCACCAATTGAACTAAATTGGTTTATAAACTGATTTAAGGTAGACCAGTGCACCTTTTGTGTGTAAACAAGGTTTTACACCTGTTTTCTGACCATTTATTGCTGCCGTCTAACTTGTACCTCCTCTTGCATTACTGCTGAATTAGGCTGAGACACATCCACACGAGTTGAACCTGCTCAGGTTTGGCTGAACACATCCCAGTTCTTTTCAACTGTATTTCTCTGTTCCCAGTGGTCCGATAAGCCCTGTGCTCCCTATCTGCTGCAGAGGGACAGCTACTACGTGTATTCACAACAGGAACTCAAGGAGAAACTCTACCAAGAAATTATCGCTTTCTTCGACAAGGGCAAAGTGAGTGTCCCTGCGGATCCCCAGACTGATCTGGAAAGAAAGGGAGAGATGATGGTGGACTTGGCCAGTGTATGAATCTGAACGCTAGGGCTACATCTACACTGGCATGATTTTCCGGAAATGCTTAAAACGGAACAGTTTTCCGTTATAAGTATTTCCGGAAAAAGCGTCCATGCCAATGTAGACGCACTTTTCCGCAAAAAAGCCCCGATCATCATTTTCGCGATCGGGGTTTTTTGCGGAAAACACTACTGAGCTGTCTACACTGGCCCTTTTCCAGAACAGTTTTCCGGAAAAAGGACTTTAGCCCGAACGGGAGCAGCATAGTATTTCCAGAAAAGCAGCTGATTTCTTACAGTAGATCGTCAGTGCTTTTCCAGAAATTCAAGGGGCCAGTGTAGACAGCTGGCAAGTTATTCCAGAAAAGCAGCTGATTTTCCGGAATAAGTGGCCACTGTAGACACAGCCTAGGGTTTTTTTTTCCAAAGGATTCAATTGAATTTCAATGAGAACTGGGTGCCTAAGTCCCGTAGACTTCTTTGAAAATCCAGTGCCCCCTGTAAGTCAAAGGCGGATGATGCGGAGTAC